CCAGCGTTGTTGTCAGCTGCTGCCACATGACCCCATAGCCAAGAACTCGCACTATCACTTTGTCAGTGCTTAAACAAGAGCAGAAAAAGTAGTGAAAGAGAAACCTGATCTGTACAGAGCTCATAAAGAAACACTAATCTGAGGCTAGCCTGTTCTACTTTCCTAAAAGGATTCCTTCACTGTACTTTCCAAAAGCACATCAAAGCCTACTAACCACGTGTGTGGTGCTTACTGTCCACTCTGCATACGTATTTAGCCTGATAATATGTCATTGTCAGCAACAGCAGTCCAGTGTGTGGACAACGTCAGGAGGAAGGAAACAAAAATAAAACTGGGAGTTTAAACAGAAAAAAATGGGGTTGAACATGATGGAACATCCCCCTGGATACATAAACAGACGTGTGTGAGTCTGTGTGTGTCTGTGTGTGTGTATTACACAGAGAGATCGATTACAAAGCGTGCCACACAGCAGACATGCACAACATTTAGGAGATGAAAGACAGAATACAAAATCTGAACAATGGTAATTATCCATGAAAGCATGCTCACACAAAAATGAGAAAAATATCCCAACCTGAGATCCTGAGCACCGTCTGTGAAATACACAGCCATGCTTCTTTACAACAAACAAATTAATAGCCACGTGCATATTTAAGCTTGGTTAAAACACATCAGTAACATTACATGTTTGAACAGCTGGACTCAAAAACAAACAGTTTTCTTCTTTCTGCTAAGAACACAAACACACAAATCGAGAACAAAGGAGAAAACTTCCTTCCTGCACTTCCAACTGATTTTTAACACACACACACAGCTCTACACACACATGCACGCACACACTTACGCTCCCTGCCAGTATGCAAAGCACTCACCGTGTGTGAAGTGTTTGTGTGTATGAGCTGTCCCCTGCCGAAGTGCAGCGCTCCAGTGAGAGGCCAAACTCTGCTGTGGCTCTGGAAGCTCCCTGCCTGCCCCTCCCACCCATGCCTGTCATGTGACTCTGCACGTAAGGCAACACCATACGCCCACTTCCTTCAAATAACCCCGACCCTCCCTCTGACAAATAAAAGGGAAAAACCACCCCCACAACTTCCAATGCAATAAAAAGTAAATGTTAGCAGAGAACGGACAAAGAGCGTCAGTGGCTGCAATAAAGAAACAACAGAAGAGCTGTGTGTGCGTGCGCCTGCAGCTCTGCAGGCTTTAGGCCAGCTTCTCCTCAAGTCCCACATTAAAAAACAAAAAACTAAATTACTTTGTCTGGACTCCTTATCTCCTCATCTTTACGTCAAACTACTAACACTCAGTCCCTTTAACAAATCAGTACCCTCCATAAATCAAGACTCACTGATTTCTTTTCCCCCTCTTTGCAAATTTTATATCATATTGGCTTTTACAGTAAATCATTTAAAAGAAAAAACAAAAGAGTAAAAACATTTTAGATAAAGCCAAAGAAATCAAGCAGACAGAGCAGGGGATATGATGACATTTATCCTTTTTTAGAAAAATTCACAGGAAATTGTTGTTTTTTTAACGCAGCTTTTGTAAGTACTGAATAATCCCACAGCAACTAAACTGAAATGTTTGGCAACAGTCAAGAGCCTGGATAAGATAACCTCGGACATTTCAACAGTAAAAAACATTACAGGGATGATGTACAAACACTTTAATGCTGTTACAGTAACAATAAAAGCCACATGTATACATAGTATGACAAAGTATGAAAAGCAATAAAATAATATAACATGAATCCATGTATTAGGCAGGTATATTTATTTATAGCATATATTAGATTGTATACTGTAAACAGATGTATAAGATGAGTTAGATGGGGGTAGGAATGGCTGACCAGGATATGGTCAACATCTTGTTCTTGTTTTCCTCTTGAATATGATGGCTTTTAATGATTGTGTTTATTTGTCTTTTATTCCCTAATACGTATTGACACTTGTTACTTATATGTTCAAAATAAAGATTTGATTATGACAGTGCAAACACCAACAACTATTACTATTTTCCAGTGAAAATATAAACAAGATACGAAAAGACGAAATCTAAAGAATGGCAAAATGAGATGTTAAAAACACCTGATCCCTTATCTTCCAGTACCTGAGAACAAACCAATCACTTTGGCTGATTACTACTCTTTGGAAGTGTGTATATTCATGCCAGATTAAAGAGGAAGGGAACAGCTGTTTTCAGGCTCACAGGAAGTGTAATTACACACCAGTGCAGCAACTTGAGTTTAACCTTGCAGCCACACACACACACACACACACTCACTCACTGGGCAACACCTGCATTCCTTGAAACGAACAGTCAGGTTCCTGAAAAAAAAAAACCAGGCGTAATATGTTGGAGAGACGTGTCATTACTCAAACTCAGAGGCCAAAATAAACCAGGGCTTTTAAACAATGTCCATCTAACGAAACTGAAACATCAATATGGACCTTCTGAGTCCTGCACAATACCAACACACGATTCATTAAATCCGACACACAAACATAGCTGGACTTGTAACTGTGATAAAAACCAGGTTTTTACCAAATATGGACGTAAAATAAACCCTTGTTGTCGTTCGTTTTACAGGGTGGAGAACCCTGCAATTTCCCCCAAACTCGGGGCCCCGACTCTCTTACAGCTTTTCGCTCTTTGACCTTTTTCGTTCTTTTCAACTCACTCTTTCTGAAGCTCACCTTTATCTCCCCAATAAAAACCTGATGTTTAAAGTGGAGACACTGGAAATGTAGATAATTCTGACAGCACTTAATAATGGGTTTAGGAGCTGGTTTATTACTCAGCTGCACTTTATTTCACCAACACGACACAATCATCTTTGAAATCTTCTTCTGTGGATTATGCAGATTATACAATAGGAAGACATAGCATAGCTTTTCACTCCTAATATGCATTGCAGCAGTGCCAGTGATGAAGCAAGCCATAGATAGTTTAAATAAAAAGGGGCAAAGGTCATGACTTAAGACAAATTAAAATCCACATTTAGGAAGACTAAAGCATCATCCTGAAGCTGTGTGCATAAAACTGTGCCACTCTGAAATCGAAACACAAACTCCTCTTCTCAACATCACTGCCACTCAGGAGCTGCTCTCCAAAGGTCTCACTATTAACTTGTCTTTTTTAAGCCTAAAATAGACTTTTTATGAGATACAAATTCCCTCTTTCAGATTTTCTTCTTAAAAACGCTGACTCCTGAGTGAACCGTGCATGCATGCAGCGTGGGCCAACCATCATTTGTTTGATTTGACATAACTTGGCAGACTTCTTTATTACAGAGCTGCTGTGCTGCTGGGGACACGGCCTTCTTAAATGAAAGAAGAAAAAAAAATATCTTAATTTTGAAGAGAAGGAGACAGAAAGCCGATGTCAGGGGCTGAAGTTTGTGGGCCACGCTGAGCCAAGATGGTGTCATGTACTGGCAGGCAGAGCATGAAGCTGCCTGGCTGACCCCTGACAGTATTCCTTGCAGTTGGACTTTCATAACACAGAGATACAGAAGAACCATAGATTGACTGGGCGCATTACATTAAAGGCATCACAGGTTGTCTTTTTCCTCCATAGGAAAATAGTGTAGTGTACGACTAATACAGAGGGCTGCAACACATCTTAAATCAGTATTCAGTAGACTGCAGTGCACGGGGTGTGTGTACAGTTCTGCTATGAACCATCTTAGACTGATAAATGACACTACCAAAAATAAATAAATAAAGGTTCGTTAGCTGACATGCATGCTGAGGTTTCTAAAAAACAAAAAAGCAAGTACAGAAAAATTAAATCAACAGCAAGGATCTTATTCATTTCTGCAACACTCATGCTGCTCATGTGAAAGATGTGGGTGGTGGCCATGGAGAAACTAAATGTTTCCTTTGTGTGTGTGTGTGTGTTTCTACCTCACCCAGAAGGAATACTTAAGCCTCCGTACAGGATAAAAGGAGAAACTTGAGCATGTCTTTATGTGCAAACATTTGTGAGTTTACTTAACCTAAAAATCTATTGTGCACCGTCACACTGTGACGCTTGGATTTCCATTTGGAGATGAAGAGTAAACACTCGCAATGTAAATAACATTTAGGGGCCAAATTTAGGGCAAATCTACCGGAAATTAATGTAGGTCAGTGTCCTCTGAAGTAACAGAAACACTGTGTGTGTTGTGTGTTGTGTGGGTGTAGTGGGGGGGGGGGTTGTTGAAGATTGTCACATGAATCCAATTCTCTGGGGAAAGAGGAAGTATCCTGACTGAGGAGGATTTGTAGTAAACAGCTGAATGAGGCCCTCTCAGGGTTCTGAAAACAGCTCCTTCACCCTCCTCCACCCGATGTGTGTGTGTATGCCGACACTGAGCCGCTCAGCTTTGTGTTTGTGTATTGTGCTTCTTAATGTATAATACAGTGGACTTCAACGTATCTTTGACAAACGTTTTCCAGCTCCAGGCGCTACCTTCCAGGTGCAAGGCCAACTACCTGTGTGACAGCAGCATCTGCTGGTAGCTGGTAGAGTTGCAGCAGTAGAAGCAGCTCCACAAGCTTCAAAACAGCATGGGTCAGTCTCCAGCATCAGCTTTGCACTGCAAAACTTCAAATCTAAAAATTTGGCAAGTGTATATTTAGTTATTTTAACATGATGAAACTTAAAATTTGAGTTGTGATGCAAACATCTTTGTACATAAGAATAATCGTAAAGTTTTTATATGGTGACAGAACCTACAGAACATCTTTAAACAATGAAAACTAAAATAAACAAAATATAAATGAAAACATAACCATTAAAAACACGTGTACACTATTTAAAATTCACTCAACTGCAACGTGAGAGACTTGACTGCAATTTCAGTCCCTCACCTCTGCAGTCGGGCAGACACACCCATATTCAGACTTTGGATTAAATGACCTATAATAAGCTTTTGTATTTTAACAGAATCAAATTACCACAAAAAGAAAAAACAGAACAAAATAAAAACACACTGAAATGCAAGCTGGTTTTGCTCTTTTACAGTGAAGAAGTCTTTTTTAACAGGCAGACTGTCAGATTTCCTCTAACAACAAAACAACTGGCAAAGCTTGTTTTCCTGGTTTCGTTTATAAGGAAAGTGAAATCTAAAGGGAGTTACTACAGCCTCACACAAACATACAGACCAGCCATCGAAAGCAGCAGATTTACACAGGTAAGCGTCTTGTTTTCTTGTGGCTACATTTTTGCTTACTTTTGCTCTCATGACTGCTGACAAATTTATACCCAATCACTAATGCAGCATTTATCAGGTGACAAAATATTTACAGATACAATGAAGTTGACTGTTTTTTGCATTAGATTTCACTATTTCACGTTCGCTCTATAACGAACAAATCATTTATTCTAAATGATCTTTTTATTAAAGAGTCTCTAGATTTTATATGTCTGACTGAGACGTGGCAGCAAAATAAGGATTATGTCCACTTGAATGAAATCTGCCCGTCTGGCTGTTCTGTCATTGGAACTCCGTGTCTTTTAGGACGTGGTGGAGGACTTGCTGCTGTTTACCAGGACAAACTCATATGCAAACTGATGACCTCGGACTTCTTTTCTTCATTTGAGTCACAGATGATGAAGGTCTGTTCCCTGAAAACCTTTTACTGTATTTTAATCTATCGACCTCCTGGACCTGCTGGGGTCTTTCTAACTGAATTTAACGACCTTCTGACATCGATCATTAAACTGGAGAAGGTTGTAATATTGGGAGACTTAAACCTTCATATTGATGACGCTTCCTGTAACACTGCTGCTGAGCTCATCACTATCACTGAGTCTTTTAACTTTAAGCAACATGTTTCTGGCCCCACACATACAAAGGGCCACACTCTTGATCTTGTTTTCTCCCTGGGTTTAAATATACATGATGTATGTGTGGAAGATGTCCATGTGAGTGACCATAGTTATATATTCTTTAATTTGTCATTTTACGTGGATCCTTCACCTCCTAAATTGATGATCCAAAGGCGGATTATAAACCAGGATGCTGCTAGAAGGTTTTCTGCCATGTTTGTCCCTCGCATGGCTCAAAATGATATGGATTCACTTATTTTGTCTTTTAACAATCAATGTAAATCTATTTTAGATACAGTGGCACCTCTGAAACTAAATGTTGTCCATTCTTCAAATTTCTGTCCCTGGATAAATGAAAATATTCGAAATTTTAGGAGATATTGTCGCAAATTAGAACGTTTATGGAAGGCTTCCAAGCTTGAGGTCCATAGGGTACATCTCAAGGAATCAATTTTCTCACTTAACGACATGATAAAAAAATGCCAGAACTGAATATTTTGCTAATCTAATAGCTTCAAGCGGCTCTTTTTTGCTTCTCATCCGTAAATAATCTGCTCTTTCACGTGATTCAGTTTATTTTGAAAAGTCTCAACAGGATCTTGAGCTTTATTGTGAAAGGTTTATGTGGAAAATAAACAAGCAGACACGCGATGGTTTTTCCGTTGTTGCTAACGACAACTAGAGCTGGGCGATATGAGATTTTTTCATATCACGATATGTTTTTTTCATTTCAGGCGATAACGATATCTATCACGATATAAGCCAAATAACTATATTTGTAAGATTTAAATGTGCCGTTGCTCACAAGTAAAATGTGAAATAATCAGCAGCTTGTTTTTATTTAAATATTTATTTCCCATAATAAGTTCAACAGGGTAGATGTACTTAAGGAACATGAGACTTTTTCAGATAAATAAAGGCAAATATTGCAAACTACACAAAAGGCAGCCGCTAAAGCGTTTAAGTTTCAAAATAGAACAAACGAAACAGACTAAATTGTCAATTCCACTTAGAAACAAAATATTAATTCTAAAAATAAATCTTAGTTTGTTTTACAGAAGAACAGACAAAACTGACTAACTTTTGTCAATATCAAATAAACTGAGAACTAAAAGGAAATTCTCAATCTCTCCTTGTTGTATAGCTGAGCTTTTCAAACAGTTTTAACAGTTACTTTAGTCTGACAAAAGCCGAATGACGAATTAGCGCTTCCAGTCAGAGACTGAGGCTACGTCCACACGTACACGGGTATTTTTGAAAACGGAGATTTTCCGTTTTCGTTTTAAAAAATAATCCCGTCCACACATAAAGGCAGAAATGAAGGAAAACGCTGCTATGAACATGCCAAAGCAGCAGGTGGCGCTAGATTCCTAACCGTGCAGAAATGTTGGCCAATCAGAAGTCTAGAAGCCTCGGTGGGAAAAAGTAAACAAAGCTGGGGCATAGAAGCAGAACCGAGTCGTATGTGTGGAGGGACAGTAACTGTGTGTATATGTAAGCATTTAAACACTGCAGAGAGTAGAATTAACAGTAACAGTATTGTAGAAATTCATTTCACCGAAACAATAACGTGGCGCACAGTGTGACGCATGCACCAGTTTATTGTATTTCCAGACTTGCTTTCGGCACAATTTACAGTGCACGCTACTCTGTTTTTTGTCAGACTTGAAATAGCCGAAATACCTTCACACTACGGAACTTCTATGGCTCTTCCGTTCGACAATCTCTCCGGCATTGGAACCATCATCTGTTTTCTCTTCGGTCACGCTCGGTTGATTTTTCTAGTCGGCACACTCATTTCCTCCATTACGCGCTGGCTCCATTACCCGCTGGCTGCTTCCCAAACAAACACACGTGCGGCTTGGCACTTGTGCTGTACGTAACAAGTCACGCGACGTGACGCTGCGGCTGTGATTGGTTCGGCTCTGCGCTACTTAATTTGGATTGGCTGACCTTTTTTTTTTTTTTTTTTTTTTTTTAAGAGGACAAGAGCGGCGAGGTCTATCGCGATAGCTTAATTTCTCTATCGAGTAAAAGTTATATCGCGATACATATCGTTATCGTTCTATCGCCCAGCTCTAATGACAACGCATAAAAACAAGCACTTGTCTGTCTGTAGTGTGGTTAAATATAAGAGAAAGAAAGAACTTTAAGAAATGAATATAGTCACTACAGTGGTTGTGTCCAAATTCATGGGCTGCATCCTCCTGAGGACTCAGAAGGTCGGGTAGGCCGGAAGTAAACGGCTGGGGAAATTGGACGGTCTAGCTTCTGATTAGCGTCACCGCTGTCTCGGTGGAGTTTAATAAACTCGGCCGTCTGCTCCTTGCTATCTAAAATATAACAGGACACTGGCGTAAATTCTCGACCGTCTCACACTTCTGTTTAATCAGTTTTCTGTTTGACGTTTATTCAGCTGTGTAAAAACCAAGGAGGAACCCACCCGGGGGATTAATAAAGTTTTATTTTATCTAATCTAATCTAATAACTTTAATCTCAGCCAAACCGATTTACTCACGAACAAACAAAACACTGAAAAAAGCCCAACAATAACATTTTTAGGTTGTCTAAGTGACTTATATATTACGTTTAACCTGAGTAGCGAAAGTCCGCGGTGATCTGAAAATGATGTGCCGGGAGTTGTGCCGTTCTCGGCGGCTTCAGTGACCCTCGAGCTCCCGACTAGCTATCGAGCTGGTGGGTAGCAGAGTCTCCGAAAACGTCGAAGCACTTTTGCAAATATGCGATATCTTGATAAACCGAGCAGATATTTGATGTTTACACAGCTACTTCTCCTGAAAATATGTTAAAAGTTTATTTTGTGACCCAGAAAATTAATGATTTAAAACTTAGCGGGCCAGCCTATGTTGGAAACGCATTGGCGCTCGTCGCACAATTTTGGTCGGCCAAGGACATACACCCAGTACCGCATCCTCTCACGAATAGTCGTGCCCGGCAATAGCATGATGAGCGACGCATGGTGGGTAGCGTAGACGTCTCCGCAATAGACATGTCGCGAAGCACTGTATTGTCTAAATCGAATTTGCGATATCTTGATCAAGACCTGAGCATCGATGATGCTTGATGTCTGTACGCTGCTGACAGTCATACTTCGGTCTACAAATGCGGCTCGATCAAGATATGATGTAAGAATGCTTTAGCTTCTCATGTGAACTTTGCGACAGAAACGATACAGTGACCAGTCAAAGATGAATGAATTATTAAACAATACTTAGTCACGTAAACGGACCGTCTCATATGTTGTGAAACTGGACAGACTCTTGACGACAATGCGAAGACGCATAGCGCTATGATTCTGAAATTTGCCACGAAAAACCACCCTCAAATGAAGATAGGGTTGTACGGCTGCATGAGGTCTTATAGATCGATTTCCTTCGGATCGCGTTTGACAAATGCTATAAACGGATATATACGGAGTGATGCAGCGATCTTTGAATACCGTAAAACTGTGGAGATGACAATAAACAGAGGAAATTGAACAAATGGATATTTGCTGTTGACAAAAAGGAAATGAACAAAATGAAGACTAAAACAACCAAAGCAAGCAACCAATCATTCCAACCATTAGGTTGTCCATTTCTTCTTGTTGCAGCCTCTCTGTTTCCAGTGTCCCATGACTGGGAAGCGTTTACACGATGTATAGGTGAGTTGTCCGTACAAGCCCTTCTGATCTCTCTTAGGAGGTTAGTAGAGATCAGGTACGTTTGTTCTGGATCGTACTCTGACCTTTGGTAGTCAAATGTCTGATAATGCTGTGTAATATAGACTTGGTCTACTGTCTGTGACTGCTCCCTGACTCTAATTATGATTCGGGCCCTGTTTCTCCTATGAGATGGAAGCTGGAGTGATGTCTGTTGATTGACATTGCCAAGAGTGTAGTATCTGTACCCCCTTGGCAATTCATCTAGCAACCCCTCAAAGTTGCCGTAATGATGTGAGCCATAATCACAGTGTGGGTCAAAGTTCAGTCGTATGACACCATTTGTATCAATTTCAATTTTGTTGGCAAACCAGCGGAGCAATTCTTGGCTCTCCATAGGTACCGCTTGGCCAAATCTGACTGACTGTAGCTCACTGATTGAATTGAGCATTCGTTTTACAGCTGAAACTGATGTAAAGATCAGAAGAGCCACACAGCAGCAGATGATCTTTCCTGACATCTTCATCAGCCTGTAGAGAGATTTAAGTAGTTAGTGCATAGTGCATGCATTTATTGTCCTTACAAGTTTTTTTTTGTCATGACTTGCCGGATCAAGAGTTCATATCAATGAATAAGAAAGGACTACCCTGCTGAATGAAGAAATTTACTCCTTAATACTGATTGAAAATGTTTTAAAAAGCCAAAAAGAAATAACAAGTGTTACACGATTAATTTCGTTTCCACCTCTTAATTCGAAAGGTCTAGAGATGAAGAAACACATATAACCTTGGGCATTACAAACATTGTTGTTGTTATTGTTGTCAAGAGGCTGGCCTAACTATGAAGAAACCAGAGTTTTTCAATTACCTGGATTCACTGTGATCAGGATACTGTCATACGACTGATAACTTGTCAGTGTAAGCTGTATCGATTACAAAGTTAAAACTATCAAATGCTTTAATCACTAAGATCACGTGTCAGACTATGTCTAGATACACTCCATCTGAATGTGATGAGTACTGTAATGTTCATCTTGTAAATGACGATCACACCAACTCACACAGCTTTGTGCCTGTAATGATAGTGAGGCCAATATTTATGTAATCACACTGCTGAATGTGAGATTCTAAGACGATTCTAGAGACTGCTGTATGGTAAATTCACCATCACCTTGTAGATCAGATGTTCAATAATGTTGATTGAGTTCAGAACCAATAGCAGGTAGACTTACCTGTGTAACTGTGCTATGCTGCTCTCTCAGATAGGCTGATCTATTTCGCTTGTGCCTGTGAAGATCGTGACATGACTTTGTAAGCTCTTACTGTATTGAATTGAGTTTCATGTCGTTTTACAGCTTGTAAATCAATGATCCATGAGTGAGAAGATCAGATAGATTGACCAGTACATGTCAGCAGAACGAGGATGATCTTTCCGTTGACGAATCATACATACATCGATGCGTTCATGTAGATTGAGATACTTAAGTTCTAGCTTCTCGGTATGTTTAAAGACAATAACAACATGATCTTACTAGTATTCTGGTCCTTACTAGTTAGTGGCAGTCACGTGTCTTGTTAACATGCTGATTAGTTGGCCATTTATGAGTCATGGTCCTTGAACTATGATAATAGAGAGTGACTATTAACTTTAGTCAATACCATGAGACGTCCCTACCATAGTTTAAATCGAGCTTATTCCTCTGTCTAGAGAAACTGTTACAGTACAGAATCCGTTACATCATTATGTTTTTACTTTGCTTGTCTTGCTCAGATACTGTTAGCAACTCACGCAGTAGCTCTCTCTACGCAATGTACCCAGTTAATGTATTTTACTTATTTATGTTTTAGCCATGCCTTG